CGTGCTCGAGCCATTTAGGCTACATCAGACATATTTCTTTTTATTATTCGATTTTTTTACAAAAAGTAAAACATCGAATTAGAGTTCTAAGGATTTATATGCCTTGCAATAGAGTTTTTGCGTAATGTTTCCAATTTGTAAAAATTTCTCTTTCTTTTGTATATAGAGATGAGCATATACATATTCCGAGCCTCCATTATATATTGGGGCAATTTGCTATATGTCCTCCTATAGTAGATTTTATGTGTATAAATCCAACTAATAAATTCTTATTTTAATTAAATTAATTGTACTTATTGTGTCTGAAATACCCCTAACAATATAAGGAATAAAAATCTCATAATAATAGACCACTTAATACTTGATTTTTATCCCAAAATATACATAACCAACCCCTCTCTAAAATCCCCAAATCCCAAAAACCTTGAAATTAAAACCAATCGGCAGAGATGAAAATCAACCCATCCGAAACCGATTTTTGAATTAAAAACCCTAACAAAAAAGTGCATCGCGTATTAACAAGGGCCTTCGGATCGTTTGGAATCTTCAAACTTCGTTTACTGTTTGTTGTTTGTGATGTGGTAATTGTTGTTCGTTCTTCGTTTGCTATTTTGGAGCTTTTTTTTCGTTTTCGCTTTGTTTGGTGTTTGCGATTTTCACTCATCCCGCAAACAATGGTTCAAACACGTATGAATCTCGGTAAGTAACATATGTTATGGGTTTTATGCAGAAAAAAGTAAAAGTGTGGGTATGTAATTAACTTTTTGCATTTCCCCCGTTTGTTTTTAGATGTTTTGATGATGATTTTATGACAGATGTTATGGATCTTTTTTTATCTCAGTGGAATTTTTTTGTTGATATTGGAGTATCGATGTCGTCCGTTATTCGCACACTTCAAAGGTTTCGATTTAGATATTTTGTACAGTTCTTTACCATACTTTTTATATTGTTGTTTGCATTTTTATTTTTATTTTTATTTTTTTGCAGTTGCTTATTGCTAACTTGTTGTTATAGCTGTTTGTATGAAATATACATTGTGCATTATTAAATCTTCATATTCACCTTTATTATTTGTTCTTGTGATGTTCTGCATTTTGTTTTTCTCGAGTTCTGATATTTATGGTTGTTCATTTGGTTTGCGATTTGTTATTCCTCTATAATTGAACCAGCATGTTCTTGTTTGCAATTTGTGTTTGCAATTTGAAGTCTCTTGTTTACAATTTCTTGTATGATATTCCTTGTTTGCAATTTCTTGTTACTTGAAATTATTGTTTGCAATTGCAGTTATAGTTTGTAATTTGCTATTTTCAGGTTCATCTTTGCAATTAAAAATCTTAATGATCGTTATTTGTTTTTCCGTGCCGTTCAAACAATTACGTCAAATAAAAAAGGGGGAGAAAACATTACATGTCTCCTCAACAACTTCCCAAAAGGGAAAAACAACATCAAATCGGACTACAAACGAAGCCATGAAAAGCTACAACATTCGTCGAGTACATTGAAGAACACCACTGTCGAGTACATTGAAGAACACCACGGCTTGCAACTACCTTTGTTGATTGAGCCTGCATAAATGAATTTGAAAGTCTTTTATTCATTAGATTTTAACAACAACTACACCGTTAAATATTATTAGAAAATTGTAACTATTAGCTTGTATCTTGCAAAAATTTGTGTTTAATGTATTAATTGTTACTAGTAGTTTGTTTATCCTTTCTTTTGTATTTCTCACTTTGTTTTTGCAATTTGTATATTGCAAATTGTATTTTGCATTTTGCTGTTACAACTTGGAAATATATAAAATTTAATGGATAAAAAATTGGATAATGAAAAATAATGTCAAAAAATTATGCAAATACATGAATGAGATCCTACCAAAATGTGACAAGTAGATGCACATATTACATCGATTTTGTGACGTTAAATATGCATTTCAAATTCATTTTGCTGTTTACTTAAGCATAATTAATTAGAAAATCCAAATACAAAATATAAGCCTACTACAAATAACTAATAACAAATAAATATTGAGATAGAGAAAGAGGGGGAGAGAGATTCACGTGAGAGAGAGAGAGAGAGACTCACGTGTGATGTTGTTAGAAGAGGGAAGTGATATGTGGGATTTGTTCCCTCATTTTCCATAAGTGGTTATTTTCATATAAATATTAATTGAGGGCATTCTGTCTATATACTATTATTTTAATTTTATTTATATTATTTTTTTAGGTCAAGGAACTTATACCTATATTCATCTAACAATTTGGATCCCTACATATATAAGTATGGAATAAGGGGTGTGTAGCCAATTTCCCCTTATATATATTTTCAACATACAATACTTAAAATAATGTAATAAATGCATATAAATATGGGGTTGTTACCAATAAGCAATGTTTTGAAAACCGGACCGGACCGGCCGGTCCGACCGGTTCAACCGCGAACCGCCGCCATGTCCGGTCCGGTTAAATATGAAAACCCAAAAAGCTCAAAAACCCAGGTCAACAGAAAAAATCCCGGTTCGACCGGTAAGAACCGGTTAATCCAAGACCAAGTCCGCAAACCGGTTTTCAGCTCAGGACAAAATATCAATGTCGGATCTACATCAATGGTGGTCGTCGGTGAATGAATCTTGACGGAAAAGGTTGTTGGTGAACGGATATAGACCGATCTGGGTAGTATCTAACCCAATCCAAGTTGTGGCCGCCATAACTTTCCACCGAGGAAAAGAAAACGAAGAAGGTAAAAGTTAAAATGAAGAAAAAAATGTAAAATAAGTAGAGAAAATAAAGTATATGTGTTGGTGGAGATTATGATAATTAAGAATTTACAGAGAAAGAAGGGAAGAAAAAGAAGTGGATGGGGACTGTGAAGAGTCGGGAGGAAGAAGAAAGAGGAGGAAGAAGAAGAGAGGGGGAGAGAAAGAAGAGAGGGAGAGAGGGGAGAGAAATAATTTTAAATTATTTTTTTATAAAAAAAGTAGAGTATAAAGTGATTAAAGTGGGATAGAAATATAAAAATATAAAATATATTATATTTGAGGTATTAAATTAATAAAATAATTATATATAAAAAAATAATAAAAAACTCGGTTGGACCTCGGTTGAACCGGTCCAACCGTGACCCAGTAGCTTGGCCGGGTCGATGTTCGGTCCGGTTTTCAAAACATTGCCAATAAGCCATGGTGGACTACTTCTACATAACTCGGTCCTCCACTGAAATAACTTTACAAAAAAGTGCAGATAAGACTCAAATGTTGTAAAAGACTAAACTACCCATCAAATATTAATATACTGCAATTTCATCAATTTAACCTAAATTTAATCTCAATGCAACCCCAATTCTAATTAAGGCAAATAGCACTTAACCCCCTTGTGGTTTGAACATTTTGCACGTGATCCTCTTGTGATATGAAATTAGGCACATAACCTTCTTGTGGTTTTGAATTTGCACATGACCCCTTTATGGTATGAAATTAAACACATAACCTCCTTGAATTGAAAACTGGAAAAGACTAAATTACCCCTAAAGTTTAGTCAAATTGCAACCATACCAACTGTTCTTTGGTTACTCTATCAAGTTTAAATTTCTTGTTTTAATTTAAAAATAACTATATTATAAAATGAAGAGCTTAATGTATTTTTCTGTAAAATGAGAAATATGATATATTATTGTGTTTTTTTAATTTTACAACACAAAAAAATATATAATACTAGCTATTGTACGATTGATGATTTATTCAATTTTAGAAATCAATTTGAAAATCTCATATACTACAAATCAAATATAAAAGGATTAAACTCAATATAAAATTATGAACTATCAATTTCTTTGTTTAATTATAATTCGGTAAAATAATTCTACATATTTCAAAGCTTTAGTATTATTATTATTATAAATAATAATAATTATGATTATTTTTACTATTTTCTATATAATATATTATATTATAGTTGTTATCGAATTTTAATTTTTTAAGAAACAAAGGCTATATTCTTTAGGGGTAATTTAGTCTTTTCCAGTATTCTATTCAAGGGGGTTATGTAACTAATTTCATATCATAATGGGGCTACGTGCAAAATATCAAAACCACGAGAAGGTTATGTGCCTAATTCCATACGATAAAGGGGTCTTGTGCAAAATATCAAAACCACAAGGGGGGTATGTGCCTAATTTTATATCATAAGGGGGTCATGTGCAAAATATCCAAACCACAAGGGCGTTAAATGTTCTTTACCCTTCAAATTATTCAATTTTAACCCTCACCAGATTTTGACCTCAATTTTGACCACCACCACCACCGTTGACCACGATCTAGCGTCAACGACTCAAACAATAATATTATTGTGGTTGACAGTATTATTAACTATATTATTGTGGTTGAATTTTCCTTTTTGCATGGTGCAAACATCTATGCAATTGTAGTTGACAAGAACAAAATAATATTATTGCGTAACACCTTAATATTTTGTTGACCGATCAATATAAAACAACAAAAATCTAAAAATCATAATATTACTGTCGTTGACCACCGGGATGGCAAAAAAATATTAAGAAAAAGAGAAAAAAAAAGGTGAAGGCCGTATATTTGTCAAAATTAAAAAAGAACTCATAAAGAAAAAGTAAATTTAGTTTTGGATAATGAAATTGTAATTAATTAGAGTTTAATATTAGACATTGAGTTTAAAAAACTGTGACAATATTGTAATAAATATTAAATTTTGCCTTAGATGTGGGTTTATTGAATAAAGAGAAGAAAAAAACATAAAAACCAAAATTCCTAGAATAATACAGGTTGGTGTCTCATAAAATCCACTATTAATAATATTTGGAGCATCCAATATGACATATTTTTCAGTCAGCATAGAATACTTAAAATAATGTAATAAATGAGCGTGGATGTTTACTTGTTGGCAGAAAATGTGTGGAAAAGTGACTTTAAAACACGTGAAGAAAAAAGCGCAAAGTAAAGTAAATCAAAAACAGTGTTTAGAGAGAGAGAGAGAGAGAGAGAGAGAGATAATCAAAATTCATGCTTCTAGATTTTGTTGATACCTGAATAAATTCTGAAGCAGTTTTAGATTAATGTGATCTGTGCAGAAGTGATGATGAAATTAGAGGCTCTGCCGAAAGGTTTCAGATTCCGGCCGACGGATGAAGAGCTCGTCAACCATTATTTGAGGCTTAAAATCAACGGCAACCATTCCGCCGTTGAAGTTATCCCGGAGGTTGATGTCTGTAAATGGGAGCCCTGGGATCTTCCTTGTACGCTTTTGCCCCTTCCTTTCTCTTATTATTAATTTTATTTATTTATTTATTTTGTCTATGTCGTGATTATTCCATTCTCGAACATTCCCCCGCATACGAAAAGCATGTTGAGAAAATATTTCCGAGGCATATATAATTTTTAGAAATTCTGTTTGAATATAGAATTTACAATATTCTATTCTTGATACTTAAGTAATTATAATTGTAATAAATTAATTTCGTCGTATATAATTTTCAATAAAACTTAAGCAATTATAATTTTAATAATCTGAAAGCAAACAGGATACACAAAATTGTTTAGTGTGAAGTTAATCAGGAACAAGAGCGGTTTGCCTACATGTCTGCTTGTAAGAATATTGCCGGCTGATGGATGCTCAAATAACCAACGAACTAAAGATTCTTAATTCTTACTGTATCTCAGTGTAGTTGTAGTTCAGTAAGTTAGATGCATAATCCTGGAATAAGTAGCTTAGAAATGTGAAAAGAGCATCCTAAAGAATTTTAATTGGAAATGGGACTCAAAACCGAACACTGTGTTGTCACATTAAAAAAATATAATGTATTCTATGGTAAATTACAACCACCCCTGAGGTATGGTCAAATTACAAAAAAAATCCTCTTGTTTGGATCTTCTTACATCTCCACCCTTATGGTGTCAAATTCACCATAATCATCTAGATTCCGTAGAATGTGCTCTAGTTTGTACTTGTTTTGTGTAAAAATACAGTTTCTGATGCACCAAAATCTGATATATACAAGCCAAAAAGCACATCTTATGATCATATTACATGTAATCTAGAAGATTCCACTAAATTTGAAACCACAAGGGTGGACGTGTAAGAAGATTTATAGTTGAGGGGTGGTTGTAATTTCCCAAACAAGAAGGGGGTTTTCGTAATTTGTCCATACCTTAGGGGTGGTTGTAATTTACCCTTTATTCTAAAAGGGTAGAAAGCAGAGTAGATTTGTAGCAACTTTTCCTGCTGAAGAATATATGGTTGACTTGAGTGGTTGACTTTTAAGTTCATTTGTCGATTTCGGTTTTGAATATATTTAACATTTAGCTCTAGGTTCACCATGCACATCTTTTCTTATGTTCGAAGAAGCAAAACCAAGTGAAAGTAAAACAGTAAATGTTGATTTGTTATTTTTCCACTGTGCAGCAATGTCAGTGATAAAGTCGGATGATCCAGAGTGGTTCTTTTTCTGCCCGAGAGATAGAAAATATCCGAATGGGCATCGTTGTAATAGGGCCACTGAAGCTGGTTATTGGAAAGCCACTGGAAAAGATCGCACTATTAAATCTCGCAGACTATCTCCCTCTCGTCGAACAAATATCCATTTAATCGGAACAAAGAAGACTCTAGTTTTCTACAGGGGCCGTGCTCCTAAGGGTGAACGTACTAATTGGATCATGCATGAGTATCGTGCCACTGAACCAGATCTCGACGGCTTAGGCCCTGGACAGGTCAACATATAATCTCTCTCACTCTCTCTCTTGCACATGCACAAACACTCTTATACACAAACATACATTGATTGTTTTTTCTGTTTCGTGACCTCTGTTCGGTAATTTCTTTGGTTATTAGTAGTTGTCTAGAAGATACTCTTGCTTATCTTTATAACAATAATTAGTGTGGTCATTAGATATCTTGTTTCATCACAATATTTGGACGGTTAAAAATTGATCCTCTCTCGTCAGCTATTTGCTGGGCTAAATTGTTATGTTTTTCTTATTTGCTCCGAGAATTCAAATTGATATTCATAAATGTGTACACCTATCATTGTTTAATATTCTTTCATGATCATGCATTAAGCTAAAAAATCATTATCTATATGTAAGCTTTGTATGTAAATTGGTCCAACAAATGCTCGTCGGTTGATACTGCCGTGGCCAAATTTGTGAATATCTCTATTACTTCGTCTTCATCCGAATTTCTCCAAATTGCCTGAATAGTTCATCTCGTGCTACCTTTTGTAGAAGCCAAACCTTAACTCTTTTACCTTTTGTATAAATTATAGATCTAGATGTCAATTTCTGTAAGTTAAATTATACAACCTTTACAGCTTCCGTGTATCTAATCGTATGTTACCACTGCAATCAAGTATCAACTCATTTTGAAATTCATAATTTTTGTTGGTGTTAGTAAATTTGTGGAATCCACGTTGGGATTTTGTGAAGTGATAAAGTGAAATTGTGTGAATGCAATTTTCTGTTCATGAGAATATTATGCATTACGTTTATATAAATGAGATATAAGTAACAGCATTTTACATGAAAAAAGTATCTAGGTAAAACTAAAATCTAACTAGCTCTTGACGCCAAAATATTATTCTACTCATTTAACCCTTTGCTAATACTCAATTTAACTGACATGTTATTTGCTATTTCCGAATACCTCAAGGTGGTGGATGCAAAAAGCTCGGTATCTTATAATAGTTGTTAATGTTATGGTGGTCTTAGTAGATCCCTTTATAAATCTCCGTAGATCATTATATTTGTGCCGCTAATTTGGCTTCTTTGTTTTGTACAACCTAATAAAACAGCCATAGCATCATATAAAAATGATAAGTCATAGTTGTGTTCTTTTTATTGATAATTGGTTGAGGTGGACTGTTGAAGTAGTGAAATTGTGGTAGGGTAAACCAGTTTCCAAACGGATTACGAGCGACCAGTTGGAGAGTGACGAGAAGTATATAATAACCATAATATTGCTACTTATTGCACACTCTTGATTGAGACCATGTTCTTTTTGGTTTAATGGTATAAATTTTATGTTGATAGTCAGTTATTCATTACATGGTGCAGGGAGACTATGTACTTTGTCGTTTGTTTCACAAGGCAGAGATAGATAATTCAAAATTTGATGAAGCTGAACCTACTGGATCTTCTCCATCTGCTAACAAATCATCTCCCGATAATGAATCATCCGACTTATTTCAAGAATCTTCACTCGTTGAAACTTTCAAGGAAAACGAGGATGTGAAAAAGCAGCAGGCAGATGAGGCAGACTACATGCCTCCTAATAATATCCTTTTGCCTGTTCAAATATGTGAAATTAATGGACCTATGGAGGTTAGACATAAATTATTAAAATATAATTTTTTTTTTCACTGCCTCTTTATGTAAAATCTTGAATTATTAAGGAACCGAGTTCCGGATTCAATTTTATCAAATTTTTTTCAGGTGTGTGCTCCGTTAAAAGAAATTCCAATGTCGGAAGAAGCAACATGCAATAAATTTAACGATGGGGTGTTGTCTCACAATTTCAATGATGTGGGTTCTCCCTTTGCTGATGATTTCGGAAATGGATTCCATTTTCAAGACGGCACATCTGAACAGGATGTTTCACTGTCGGAGCTTTTGGAAGGCCTTCAACACCATGACAACTACTTTTCTGAAGAGTCAACTGCTCACATCAAAAGTCAAAGTCCAACTACAATCTGTAACGTGAATATTTGTAAAGATCGTGAGACGGATACAGATATGATTCAACCACAGGTAAGTAGCTCGGTTCGTGTGTACGGTTTTGCATTTTGTTAACTAGAATTCTTGTATTTGATATTTGATGCTCTTGCTGACGTTGTTTTCCTTGCAGTGTGAGATATCTCCGAATTCCTTTCAATTTGCGGTATCTAATATCAATTCCCTTCCTCCACACTATGGTGTTGGAAAAGATGATTTATCATATGCAATGAAAGATAGTAGTAGTGGTCCGACTAGTGGAACTGGAATCAAGATTCGATCGCGTCAGCCAAAAAGTCGGTCAACTTTGGTCAACTCTACAAACCAGGGAACTACTTCGAGGAGAATCCGTCTAGTGATGGAATGCAGGCCGAACTCTGCAACTTGTGAAAATTCCGATGAGGCCGACATCACAAAGCAAGAACCGCAATCACTTGTTACCATGGTGAGTTCCCATTTCATTTAATTAGACTAGTAAATTAAGTAACGATATAACTTGAAAATGACATATAATATTTGTTGAGAAACCATATAACTTCCGCAGGGAAAAAGGAAATCATAATATTGTTGTCGTTGATTGTTGTTTTTAGGTGACGGAAGGTAGAATTGTGGACGAGAATAAGGAGATTGGTCAAACGAGAAGAGAAGAATCGCGGGCGGTTGAAAATGGTAATACGAAGAAGCTATTTATGATGATGTCAGGTCATTCGAAAGTGTACTCTGTCAGCGTTTACGTAGTTATAATTCTGTCAGTAGTTTTCCTTGGGCTTTGGAGATGTCCCAATTTGCATGCTTGATGTTATAACGCCGCTAGTTGTCATCTTTACCGTTATTATTGTTTAGTAATCGAACAATGTTGTATTGTAGTTAAGTGCCTAATGTATTAGTTGTGCAGGAAGAATCTAACTTGTCATTATAGAATCCGTAGATTTTTTGAAGTAATGCAGTTTGCATATATTGAAATACTAAATGTCGTTTCGATTTTATATATTGTCACGGTTTACAATATCATTTTTTTAAAAGTTCTCGTAAAAAATGATACTATGAAATCAAATGGAGGTGCAGTTCTTATTGTAAGATGAGGCATCCATGGAACGAGTTTCGATACGAGTCGGACCGAGCCGAGTTAATGTCGACTACTCAGTGAGTAGTGACTGATACAGAGATGGGTGAATGACTAAATGCTGTGGGGACTAAACAGCACAGCTGGCGGTGTGGATAAGGCAAATGAAATGAAGCCCCACCAAACAAAACTTTGATTCAACACCATTTTTGTTTTTTTGACCTTTTCGTCACTTGTAAACAAACATTTTAGTTGTTTTCTCAAAGATAAGAACAAACCAAAAAAGTAATATAATAATGCTACAACCAAAACAAAACTAAAAAATCTCATGAGATAAACCTTGATTTTTTTTAAAGGGCAAATTCACTTTGCACCCCTGGATTATTGGGTGTGTTGAAAACACACCCCTCAATTACGAAACGTACTAAATACTTCCCTATAAGTTTTGGTCAACTTACAAAAATGTAATAATATTAGTTTTATAATATTTTCTTAAGCAATTACAATCTTACCCCCACCTTTAATTTATAGAAAATATATGTGAATTTTAATACTTCAAATATTTCGGTCAAAATAAAAAATACAAATTAAAGTCACCGTCTCCTTCATTTTTTTTTCAACATAACTGATCTTGCAAACAATACTTGGATAACTATTTAAGCAATTGTTTAGCTTATTTTAATATTTATTCAATTGAGCATATTTTTTTAAGATTATAATGGCATATCATTTTTTGTAATTAAAATTCATTATGAAAACCTGTTTACGGAATTTGAATATATTACGGGTTTGACTTACATTGAATGAGATGTTTAACATGATTTAATCTCCTAGAATATATAGATACTTGATTTCATTAAAGAAATTATGTATTTGGTTGCTAATGTGGTTTGGTTAGAATTGATATATAAAACTGAACTCATGATAAAAATTAAAGTCGAACATTGTAGTCAAGTTAAGAAAAAAAAAAAAAAAACAAAAATTAACTAGTTTCAAATGAAAAAAAATGATGAAAAATTAAAATAAAAAATTAAGGCATATATATACTTTAAACGGTTGCACAATGGGGATAAAAATGTCAAAAACAAAAAAACGACAAGAAAGTCAAGAGTTGATGTGAGTCATCATATTCAAATAGAATACAAACGTAATACAAACGTGAGGGGTATTTTGTGTACATTTCGTAATTGAGAGGTGTGTTTGTGACACACCCATAATTTAGAGGGGCAAAGTGAAGGTGGCCCTTTTTAAAATGTTTTTTTAATAGTAGTTGGGATGAGAGGAGGCACGTGGAAGCCCAAAATCAGCCCAAGGTTTTGACTCTCTCTCTCTATCCGCCGTTGGATTATTAAATACGAATTGAACAACATACATACATACATACATACATACGTTGCAAACGCTGTTGCATCCTGTTTTCCTTTCTATTAGTTTCTGCCCCCCCCTTTTTTCGTTTTATAATTATATATTTTACGCATTTAGAAGTGACTAGAAGCACTGCCCTGCCCCCTTTTTGTTATATAATATATGAAAAAGATTCAAATTGTGGCACGCAGTTGAATTCCCAAACATTGAAGCAAGAAAAACAACTAGTAATTAATTAGAGAAGCATGATACTGGTGGCTATAGTGGCGGAGCTTCTGGAGGAGTACACGGTGGTGGTGGCGCGTGTGCTGGAACACATGTTGCAAGACGCGCCTTTGCCCTTTCCACGGCGGGTTCGATTCCTCATACTGCGCAATCTCCCTTTCGCTTCTCCCCCTTCCGCTCCACATGCACACCACCGCCTTCTAAATCCCGCAACGCCTCCTCTCGTTCGTGTAGCAACTTCCAATGCCTAATCTCTCTCTCTCTCTCTCTCTCTCTCTCTCTCTCTCTCTCTCTCTCTCTCTCTCTCTCTCTATGTATATGTATCTTGTATAACTTTGTTTTGCTTACTTCTTATTTTAATTTCCACAAGTTCTCTTTCTAGCTTTTTTTTTTGTTTGGTTTTCTTTAGGAATTCGGGACTAGTAGTGTTAACGAGAGTTGAGGCATTTGTAATTTGTACTGAGTGGTGCAACCGAATATCATAATTATATAGTACTTTCCATAATTTCAAGTAAATTAAATTGCTTGGCCATCACAAATTAATTATCCCTTCAATTTTGTGTTATATATATTCTACTTTTCTTTAGTTGCTTTTTCCCAAATTCGTTATATGCACGTTCGTTCATTCCCAAATTAGTTGTTTTTTTTTTTTTGTTTTTTGTTTTGTGTTTTCTAGGCATATATTGTTTAGTTATTACAAGATTGATGTTGGTGTACGTAGTGACAAAAGACAAACAATTGGTATTGGTATTGACTTTTGAGTACCACTCTAAACTAGTTGCAGCGCTGAAGCCAATCTAGGGTCAAGGGCCCATGGCCCTCCTCAAATTTTAATTTTCTATATATGTGTATATAATTTTTTTGTCTTTGCATTGTCCTCATGTATGAGGCAAATCCACTCTTGGGAAGTGGACTAAAGTCTTTTTTTTGATGAGAAGTGGACTAAAGTCATCCTCAGTTGTAAATCTCCATTGTATATTACGCATTTATGTTATTAAGTTCACCATATTTTTATTACTTAGCGCATCTAAAATTCAAATAAATGCAAAAAAAAGAAAAAAAAAGTTCTTCTCCCATTTTCTGGTTTTGTAAAAAAGAAAATCTGATTTTTTTTTCAGGGGCAGCATCACCAAAATTTACGTGCACCATGAAGAACATCTTAGATTCACGAGTATTGGAACAATAATTATTTTCATTATTTTTTAATATCTATTCTGTCTCTCACGATCAATCCTGGCTTCGCCACGCCACTATTGCAGCGGATAACATGTGATGACGAAATTCCAGTAATTATAGATTCGTAAATTTTGGTTACTTGGCTAAAATGGAGGTTCCAATTGTCTAATTTTGTCTCTAAATGCAGTTATGCGCCCACAACCTCGTAAAATGGGCTGCTTCTAATTGCCGTCCATAACCTCATGAAATGGGCTTCATCATGCAAATGGAATTTTCTCGTGAATGCCAACTTATTACCGATTTCTTGATGTTGTGGTGGGGTTTCTATAATTTATTTTCTTTCTTAGTGTATTTTTTTTGGGCTCTTTGAGAAAGTCCTATTACTTTCTTTTATTGAGAAGATACCAAAAATATTTTCCTCCATTTAAGAAAATACCTCAAACATTTCAGCCACCTTCTTTTTCCTTCCAATATTGTCCCCGCTTGTCACATTATCATTGCGTCACGCGCTCACATCATCATCGCGTCATGCACTGATCACTAGACTATTTTTTTTTTGGTTTTTTTTTTACTTTTTCTTTTTTCTGAATCAGTTTTATTAATCGACTATGAAGCTTAATCGATTAAGAAAATTCTTTAATTTTTTTTAACTTTTATAATTTTTTTTAATTTTTTTTAAATTTTAATTTTTTTTTCTCTATCAGGTATATTAATCGCCTATGAAGCATACTCGATTAAGAATCTGACTACTAAAAACAACAAATCACAATTACAAAAAATGCAAAATCAACTACATTTACAAAAACAAAAAATATACAAACATTATAATTGATTTATACAATTGGAATCAGTAATAAGAAATCAAAAAAAAAAATAAATTAAAAATTGTGATCGATTAACCTTTATCGACTACTGAACATAGTCGAATAAGCCTTAATCGTCTATTTCGAAATTTAGGGCTTTTTGGGGAAAAAATGGAAAAGAGGTGTGTAATGTTGATTTCTTGTTCTTGCATGCCTCATCTATATTGGTAGTGGATAGATACAAATTTTATTGGCCAAAAGCATTAAAAATTTCAGATTTGTTATGGGTTTTCATGAAAAAGTGGATTTTGAACTTTTAGTGTGGTTGCATGTGTAAATCTTGAAACTTTGGGGTCAAAACTGCAATTTCCGAAAAATCTCTCATTTCTAAAGTTTGGATCTGTTTTCCAGTAAGTATTAAATGGGAAAAAAGTTTTATTTACAAATATTTCAAAGTAATTAAGGTTATATTGGAGTTTTTGATTTTTAAAAGAAAAAGGGAATTTTCGAGTTTTTAATTTCAAGAAAATTCGAAACTTTGTGAAAATTTAAAATAATTTCAGAATCTGAAATTTGGATCAGTTAGGAGTACTAGGATTTAATTTGGGAATTTTTGGAATTGGTTTGCTATTATTTCGAAATTAGGACAATTTGCATGTCATTTATTATGTGTTGTGCTTTTATTGTCATGCCTTTAATTGAATAAGTATGAGTGATAAGATTTGAGATTTTGTACCTTAAAATGGCTGCATGGATGTGTTTATTACTGCTGGATTTATTGGAGTGGATTATTACCTAGATGTGGTAATAAGTTCATTAAATGAAAGGTGAAAAAGGGGTGCTTGCTTTACAAGCATGGTTTACCATTAAATGGTGAGGTTTAATGTGTTGGTTGCATGTGTGTGTGCTGAATATGTGAGTGTGTGTGTGTGCTGAATGTGCGTGTGGTGTGTATGCAGTGTGTGGTTGTGTGTTTATATGTGTGAATTTGGGGAATTTTGCCCAAAGGTATAAATATGTGGTAAATTGTGATATTTGTGTGATTTTGTGTCACTTGATTGATATTTGTGATGTTCAATGACTTTACGTAATTTGTAGTCATTCCATGACATGCATTTGCTTTTGACAAAATTGAAAGATTAATGGAATGTTTGGGTGATAAACGAATCGGATACGGTGGGCCGGTATCCAACTAGGGTTGAGAGGAGTGATAAGAGTGATATGAGTGATATTGGATCCACAGACGGGCTCGAAACGGTTTATTATCCGAATATAGAAATTAATCTTTCACGGATCCGATAAATGAAAAAAATGATTTTTACACGGATTGCATTCATGAGCATGTTTGTGACTTATATGCTTTAGTACTTTTTGACTTGATTCTTGTTTGATGTTTGTATGACTCGGTGAAGGTGATCGGAATGTTATATATACTATATATATGTATAACCTATTTTCAACCCTTGGTAATTCCTCGAGTTTCTTACTGAGCTTAATAGCTCATATAGATATTTTCTATTTGCAGGTAGTGCTAGTGCTAACCCTCCCCCGGAATGGACCGAGTAGTGGATCGAAGTCTTGCCCGGAGTTTTTGGAAGTTCGAACGAGGGTTCTATAAGTGTGGCTAAGTACTATTTTGGTGATGTAATATAAAGTAACTTCTGTTTTCGTTTACTATCGTACTCGTTTTTAAAGTACATGACTTTAATCGGTAACGGATCCTATTTTGAACTCTATAATATATTGATCCGTTTATGTTTATGAATAGTTCGTATATTTCATGATTTAATCGTTTATCGTCAAAATATTTCTAAACTCTGATTTTAATTTCGAACCTATGTTTTATGATAGTGTAGCACTCGATTAAACTCCTTCTCAAAAAGGTTCAAGCTTTTCAAAACAATGTTGCGAAAATTACTAGAATTCTAAATATTCAAGTATGGTTTTAAAATCGAAAGTGTTGATTTTTCGTGTTTTCAAAGTGATCCTATAAGTTGCTTCCGCTAAATCAATTAATTCCGATAAACTGGTTCGATTTATCGCCTATAATAGAGGTGGTGCTACAATTCTTATGCAAGGGACAAAGATATATAGTGTCAAATGAGGTATTTATCATTAATACAGAAAAGATTATTTACGAGTAGCGTGAGAAAACACAACAATTAGTTGGATCTTCGGTTACCTACTCTAATAGAGATGATTTTGAATTGGTTGATCCCAATTGCATTGAATATAACATTCAAGGCTTTAGAATCCATGTTTGCAGCTATATGCTCTGCCATACTCCAGTCTCTTTCGTATTTCTCAGTCTCAACATTCTTATCATCTTTGAAATCTGGTCTAGACCAGCCTGTTAAGACAGTGCACCATGCATCTTCATCCATTGACTTGATGAACATCTTCATCTTAGTCTTCCAATATGAATAGTTGGTTCCAGTGAGCAGTGGTGGGGGTGTAGTAGACACACCTTCCATATGAACGCTCGTTCTTCATACAGAAATCAAATAATCAAATTCCCAAAATCACGCACTAAGTATGTCTAGTGTGAGGCTCTTGATGCCAATTGTTGATTTATATGCCTATATAAATCAATTATTCTAAGTTGTAACAGATTACTTGTTGAGACAGTATTATGTTGAAACTATAATTCTTGTGTTCTCACAGTAATTAACTACTAAGAACAGATGAAGGAACACAAGAATTTAATGTGGTTCAGACACAATTGTGCCATACATCGACGAGGACTGCAAACACGATTTCAATAGTTCAAATTTACAGTGTGCTTTAATAGGACTTAATACATATAATAATGACTCCCTCTCTCTTTTTTTTTTTACGCTGTTCTTGAACACAACTCGAACTTCGTGTTTTCTCCACAACAGCTCCTCTCTGCGAACCTTGACCTTATTCAAGGCTAAACTCCCTTCAGAAGCACGGATGACCTCTCTTGAGATCTATACAACAACTCTGTATATGTTGGCACAGAACAATGAGGGCACAATACTGCTTTACAGACTGCCCTAGCACGACTTCAATATGACAAGAGGTTTTTCTCCAATAAAAGTGTTGAGATCTTCAATGACTTGTGAGGCTTTATATAGGCACGAATTTAGCCTCCCAAACTCTTGCTTGATCTACAACTAATCGTATAATTTGGGAAGTAGAATTTTAGTCGATTTCTAACTCTATTCTAGATAAGTACAAAGATACCTAGCTAGAATAAGATACATGGAAATAAATCAAAGTCCTAACAAGAATATCACAAAAATAGGACTCTAAATAATTCCCAAATATAAACATGGAAATAAATCTTTGCCAATCTTTTTATTCAAA